GCATTCAATGATAATCACTCAATTGCACTATCTAACCGACAACTAAGATCGCAGGCATTCAAAAATTGATGTCTACAAGACTAATTTTAGGTTGCTGCATTTTCGTTTCCTGAAAACTACTCATTTTCACCTCCCCTTTCATCTTGTAAATGTCTTTTTTTCGTTTCACTCAGCATCAACTCAGGTTGGACTGGTCGCCGGTTTTTTGGACCACCAGTCTCCGCAAAGTAGTTCAACCACCGCGGATTATTTCGTGGATCAAAAGAAACCTTGGATCAGTCGCTTTTGTTTTTCCCCTACACCTACTACTCACGGCAGTAGTTCTCACCCTCAAAATCATCCGGCATGGGCAGCCCAGATGCCAGTCAACCAAGCCCTACATGGTTGGTTGTCCAACTCTGAGTCCAGTCTGTGGTTTGGAGGACACGTTCAATTTCACAGGGTCGCCGCAATCGGCCAAAAGTACTTTTACGTCATACTCACCGAAGATGATGTCGTCTCGGCATCTGTCCCAACAGATTCTCAGGTGAGAAACTTTCCATTGATGGATGCGTTGACAACAACTTGATGATCAAGATTCTTTGGAGTTGTTGGCGTGTAAACTAAGCTATCGAAAAAATCAACACGGTTATTGCTATAAAAGTACATCTTTCTCCCTCGTACAGAGGTTGCAAAAGTCTGCTAATCACAGTCTGCAGCGTATCGCTATGTTACGGGGTTCTTTATAAGTTCTTTTAACTTCTGCGTAACGCACCAATCAATATGAACTAGGGTGTCACAATTCATTTGCGTGCTAGTTTACTACCAATGTAACGCTGATACTACTGATGGGAAGGCGTGCGAGTAGTATGTGTTGTTCTTGGAATGTCACTTTGCGCCTCTTGAAAAAAGGAGATTTGTTGCGGAATTTGTGGAGTCGCTCTGTAAAATTTGCTTGGATTTGGGCAGTGAATGGTTGGAGTCAATGAATATCCAGAAGAGTTCACGAAGACGCGTTCAGGAGATGATGGATGTCCAGTGTTTGGAAAAAAGATGCGAATGAGAGTTTTGCTTCCCTGTCCTGTAGTCTGTAACTGGTCGGTTGGAATTTTCTAATTGGTAAGTCGGCAGCAAAGGCTTTCTTCCTATCCCCATCTGGCGGGTTTTCACAGTTGAAACAGGGAAATCAAGAGGATGTGTTTGTCAGCTGCACTAATTTACGCCAACCAGCAACGCAGCTTCATTGTGGACCTGGCTTCCGAGGAAACATCTGGTAAAATCAATAATTTAGGCTTTTTGTTGACTACATTTGTCTTGCTTGTCTAGCTTGCACCACAAACCTGCTCCATTTCGGTGGATGTTGGCTACACTAACCGTGTCATCCGATTAAATGCTGCAGCCAATGAACGGTAGCGTTTCTAGAATTGATTTTGGGCGCATGATTTATTCCACAAGGTAGTGTCACGTTTGCCGTGTAACCACTCTCGGCAGTTCAGTAGGACCAATGTACAAGCCTAAATTGAGAGTGGCCGCTTTGAGCATAAACACGGTAACAAAGTATTGGATGATCAGATGAGACAGCAGTTAGGAATCGCGCCCAAATGAGACGAGGAGAGGGAAACTCGAGGAGCCAGTCACTTCGTGATCACGTGGTACGGTTTGCAGGATGGATTGAATCGTGAGGACCTCCATGTCCCGTCACCATTCTGACCATCTGGTCGCGGCTCAAAACTTCCTAGGGTTTCGTGAACTGCGCACTCCCGACGACTTCCGATAAAGATGGAACGGTTGAACAATGTTTGCCGGCCTTTCAGGATGAAATAAAATCCCACTTGAAAATATCAAGTCTCCTCACACTGGCGTCGAACACAGCTTTCCCCCAGTAATTCGTGTTACCAACAAAAACTGATGTTCCATTTTAATTTGAGTGTGCAAAGTGGAGCATAAGGGAGAGACATTGGTCGACTAGATGACATTTTGTTTAATGGTCAACGTCGAATGTGGTCAATACTACACCTTGTTCACGTGTGACACAACTGCATGGTCGATACTGATCGGCTACGTTGCTTTGAACTATTCATCACAAGGACCCATTACGAACGTATTTTTTTCTAAAGCGCCTTCAAAAAACAATCAATTTTGGGTGCAATAATGTTTTTTGCTTCAGATGGGAACTCAACTTCCATCTTGCCTAAACTTGGAAGTTCACACCACCATACATTGGAAAAGCCCATTGCATTTCTTCCTCAAATAACGAGGCCAGGTCATTATTGATTTTTTCGTACTTTGATCTTCACTGAGTTATCTATTTCCGCGTTTTTCAAGCCCCAGCTTCCTGCAAAGGGATCATTTAAGTGATTTTAGTGAAGATTCTCCTATGTGAATATTCTTCTGTTTCCGAGGTCGGTACTAAAACTGTTCAACGAATATCTTCAGTCTTCCATACAGTTCTGTTTGTTCTTCCACAAATCTATAAGAAAGCGTTACTGCGTGAAGATGATAACTGCTTGGTTTTTAATGTTCCCATTCAGTGAAACCGCTCCAGTGAATAGCGCAACCAAGTTGCCAAGATCCATTGTTCGATATCTACCGCCCAGTTAGCTGTTCACTGATCAGCATGAGTGGGAGGGCTCAAAGCACATCCGAGTGAATACAGGTAAAAGAACAACCTTCATCGTTTGCAGGGTGAAGGTGATAGCTGGATGAAATCCCTTCACCGCCAAGTCATTTATTAGCAAACGAAACTAAACAGTTACAAACTATTGGACAGGAATCTTCTATGCACATAAATTTTGAAAACTGAGCATTCTCACGCGTCTGCTTGAACTTTCGTGAATATTCATTGTGAACGAACGCTGTAATGCAGTTCCATGAGTTCCGTAATAAACCTCACCTTCCATTAGACTCGAGGCGGACTTACGAGAAAACCACATACTACTTGCATGCCTCATCAGTAGTATCCACCGTTAAAACAGGACTCGGTGTAGCTCACGGATGCAGTACTGTTTCACTGGAAATCCCCGGGCTGTGGGTATGTCACACCGAGTTGTTCAGATGAACCTGACATTCTCAACTGACCTTGTGACAGCATCAGCGTAGAGTGCATCATACCGATGTTTGCACTTTTCTGATCAAGAACCTCAAAGTTCGTTCGTTCATTCCCCAATCTATAAAGTGAAGACAGATGGGATTAAACAGGAAACGGACCTAGTTCGAAGCTCTGAGGTGCCAACACCTTCGAACTCAAACCTACTAACCATATTCTTCCTATCATATGGGCAACTATTGTCTCTATCTTGGTAACCTGTGCTTCAAAAATGAAGTCGCCTTTCTGAAATCATGCTTTGCATACAAAAAGCCAGTTTCTAACCAAGCGACCTCTGATATCGCCTGTCCTCTTCACGAGGAATTCATGTACTTTTTCAACGATTTTCGTTCTTCTATCTTCTTCTTTTTCTTCAGCAGGCACCACTTCTGAGATTTCAGACAAGATCCCGAAACCTTTCTGAATGGCATGCTCGGAAATGCTAGGAGTGAGGAGGTGATTGGGATCTGATTCATGTACCAAGCATAGCAGGATTGTTGAAGAGCTACGTTTTTACTTTCCCAAGTCATGATTGAACATAGTCGGCGCATCACGTGACTTAGACGAATGACAAATCTGGCAAATCCATTTGCCTTAAGGTGAAATAGTGTACGATGACCAAATTTACTTTCAGCAATAGTCCACGAGTATTCTGTGTGTCCCTTAGTAACAGCTCATAATTCACAATATTCCCTGTAAACTCATAATTTCCCCCGTAGCGCGGAGGGAGCAAATCGATATCTGTCGTCCACGGACTAACTGACCGTAATGATCGTCATAAATTTTCATTGCCAACTGTTTTACACACTGCAAGTAGCACGTTGTCTGTCCGACCTTCGTCATTTGTTCATGAGAAATAACTGTTATAGTTTTGTTGACATGTTTCGGTCTAATAGTGATGAATGACCGTCCAAACGGGGATTTTGTGCTTTGAGCAAACGAGGCCAGGGTAAAACCACTCACCCCCTGTCGCGATCCACCCGGATTCGAGGCTTTTTGTTTCAAAAATATGTTTCACTGTAGGAAGTCATTTGCGTTTTGAATCAAATTTGCCGCCCAGTAAAATAGTGTCCGAACGGGCTGGGAGAATATTGCATAAGTTCGGGTCACTAGGTGATTCACAACAGAGTTGTGTTGGTTTTTTTATTTTTGAA